CCCTGTATTCTGCATGCTATAAATGGTGGACCACTATGGCCAACCAAGACAATTGTTCAACTACCGCTACGTTAGCCTGACTACAGTTATACTAGACCGACTATTGCTATGGTTGATCCACCACCAGACTCCCAACTGCTTAATGGTCATTGCTAATTTTGTTAACTGTTAAAAGGGTGGAAGTTGACAACTCAGTATGTAGGTGAGAATCACCTAGTGAGTGGGCATGTTACACTAGACACATGGACAATAACCGATCAGCAGTTATATGACACCAAAAATCTATAAATACTCCAAAAACGTATCAGGTATAAAGATCTTTTTTTTCACAAAATCAGTTTAGCTTTCTCTCGTTTTTTCTTACAACGGAGGAGATAACAATAACCTTTTCTTGCAGGTATCTCATTATCCATTGGAGTTATTCATTGAAGTATCAAAGGCCGCATTGCTCCGCTAAGGAAATCAGAAGGTTGTGTCATTATTTCATTGGAACGGCTAGTCGATCAGCCAGCTTCCAGGCCACGGGCAGTTTTCGATGGGCCTGCCAACACCTCTCCTCTCTCATTTTCACTCTCATTCTTGACTTAATTTTATGTGCAAGGAGATGAATCTAATATTTCTTGACTAGAGGACGACGAAGACAAAATCACTTTATACATTTAGATGGAATCAATTTACAAACTAAAGGAACTTCAAGAAAAATAAGAATGAAGGAGGAGAAGGAGATTACCTTAGGAATGAAAGGAGTAGATGAATGCTTAGGGTTTACAATATGAAGAAGTGAACAGATGAAACCTTCTCTCCCTCTGTATGGAGGAGATTCTTGAATTTTTTTGGGGAAAATTCTCCCCAAAAGAGTTGGCTCACTCATGGGTCGCCAAATACCTAAGCCAATCGAGCTTAAGAATCCCCGTTATTTGGCATAGTAGACACATATATATTCTAACAAATGTCATTATGTGACGGGCCCAAAAAAAACTCTTAAAAAAGTGATTTTGTTGCTTTTAATAGAGCAATTCTGCAAGTTTGGTCAAACTAATTTATAATCTAGAACATTCTAGCAGTATCCAGCCACTGTCAAGTGGTATCTAGAGCTTTTCACTATCTCTTAACAATAGCTATTGACAAGAGGTAGAGGGGCTAGTGATGCTAATGTAACATAAATAGTGGACCACAATGACTAATCAAGTGAAGACAATTACTCAACTAGCACCGTGCTAACTCGACTGCCGCTATACTAGACCAACTATCTCTATGCTAGATTGACCACCATGACTCCCAAACGCCTAACGGTTATTGCTAATCCCATTAACAGTTTATCGGGTGGAAGTTGACCGCTCAGTACATGGTTTGCATCACCTAATGAGTAGGTCTGTTACATTAGACACGTGGACAATAACTGCTTAGCAGCTACATGACACCAATAATCTACAAATACTCCAAAGGCGTGCTAGGTATAAGGATCTTCCTTTTTCACAAAATCTTTCTAGCTTTCCCTCGGTTTTTCTCCAAGTCATTTTTCATCAAACTCAATCATTAATTCTCATGCGGAAGGTGCAATGGGAGGAGATAGCCCCAACCTCTTCTTGTAGGTGTCTCATTATCCATTGGAGTCGATAAGTGTATTTTATACACTTATTTAAGCCGTTAAAATTGATTATTTGTTGATGAATTGGATGAAATATGGCTTCATCCTATGTATATATTGTGTGTAGGTAACAATTGATGGAAGATACGAGAATAAAGAAAATAAGCAGGAAAAATGACTCAATTGCATCAAGGGCAAATTTCGAGGACTAGAATGCAATAAT